ACTGCCTTTTAAATGGGGAAGGGAAAGAAATTTAAAACCAAGCAGTGTATAGTTTTAAAATAAGAGGGAAAGTCATCTTTAGATTTATCCCTGCTGGGAGGATTTAGCAGTGTGATTGACATGGCTGTTTGAGTTCACTCTGTCTCTTGGTAGGTTCTAATATTGAAAAATCAGTGAAGGATCTCCAGCGCTGCACCGTTTCGCTGGCTCGGTACCGGGTTGTGGTGAAGGAGGAAATGGATGCTTCCATTAAGAAGATGAAGCAGGTCTTTGCTGAACTGCAGAGCAGGTAAGTTAAATGTAGGGACAGATCCAGGTGTTAAGGCTTACGACCAATACATTCGGAGTAAGACTTCAGCTTTCCAGTCGGGTTGATGACTTGCTTGCGTTTGCCCTACTGCCCAAGCACTGTTCTGCAGCGTCTGGGAGGTCAGCGTGTCGTAAAGAACTCCGTACCCTGGAGTTTTTTAGAAGCCGCCTTTGTGGGCGGCTTTGCAAGGCCTGCGTTCGAGCTGTCGTCCCACGCGTGCGGTGGGATGTTAATAGGCTGTTCAAGGCTTTGGTGTGTCCGTCAGGGTCTTCGATGAACTGTGGCTCCGCGTCGGTACAAGACAGTTGTCCTGACCATCATAAAGTCGTTTTAGACGCAGACGATGCGAGGGACTCACCAGGTAGCGTGCTGTCAGTTAGGCGCTGCTATTGGCTGTGCTGGAAGGAGAACTGTGGGGAGCTCGGGGTGCAGTAGTGTGTCTCTTTTAGAAACGAACATCCGTATGTGAAATCTTCAAATTATGGTTGAATATAACATGGAAGAGAGGGGTCCTTTTGAAGGTATAGATACACATCAGAGATCATCCTGTGCAGCATTGCTTCCCCCGTTTTCAGCCAAGCTTTTAATACTGTGCATGATGTTCCCTACGGCTGTAATCGGGTCTTTTTTTAATGAACATCTTTATTGGTTTGGCTAAGTGCTTTAAGATGATATTCCGAAAGGCCTAACGTCAGATATACCCACTGTCTTGGCTGATTGAAGCCATTACTGAGAAATTGTTCTTCTTGGTTATACAAATATGATTGTTTTGGTAAAGAAATATTCATAAGAAACTGCACAGAGAGTTCTCCTTGCCTGAAGTGAGTAACATTTGACAAGTAACTAAAATGCTGCTATCGCATTGAAGGATTAAAGTAGATACTTGGCAGACTTGCAAATCTGTGTCAAAAGCTGTCTACGTCTGAAAACTGTACGTGGCCTCAAAGGCAAGAGTATTTAGCGGTAGTGATGCGGAGAGCTGTATTCTGAAGCCTTTTAGCAGATTTAGTTGTTCAGTGTGGACTTCTTCTTGTGCTCGTACTTGCGTTGAACTTTGCCACCTGGAAGTGCTCTCCTGAAGTGAGCGGAATGCTGTCCTGTATTTAAATTCAGCCTGTGCTAAAAATACTGACAAAAATGTTTACAGATGACTTTTAAACTTACCTGAGGAGACTAGACCAAACTGGAGGGGTAAGGTTAAAGGTGTCCGTGTGCCCTGACCTGCGTTTTCGTGCTAAGAGCTGTGGTCTCCAAGCCGAAGCTGGACATGGAGCTCCCAGCACCTCCCGCCTTTTGGAAAAGCTGCAATGTAAGGGGATGTACCTCATCAATAGCTGAGGGATTTGTAGCCCTAACTCAAGTTCGTTTTTATGAATATTATTTCTTACTTTGTTAGTGGCTTTGTCTACTGAGTCAATCCTGATGCAGTATTATCACTGTACGCAGTGGGTTTTTGTTGTTAAGTTTTTTGTCTGCCTCTCTATGCAGTTACACCACCTGTAAAAACCTCTCCCTGGCATGGAAAATGTCATTCTTTTGGCTAACGTGTCTGGCTCCGTATAAGTAATTCCTCGCCCTTCGACTTACGTTATCATCTATAAAACACTTGCGTCATGTTTGGGAAGGTTAAAGACCCAAGTCCAGTCCCGCAGCATTGCTCCGATAAGCCGAGCCGGCAGCGGGTGAAGCAGGATGTGCGGTTCCGTGAGCGGGGAGGCGAGTGCCTGCCTGGAACGGGGCCACCGGGAACCTCCTTCGACAAATGCCAAGGGAAGGAGCTGCCCAGCAGGATGCCAGGTCCGCGCAATTGATAAGCGGTGACTCTGCAGCCGGGGCCGTTCGGCTCCGCAGAAAGAGATTCACTTTCCTTTTCCCAGAAGTGATGCAGTTGCCGGTGAGCTGAGGTGTAAATTGTACCTTCACCTTTTTTTCTGTTGTTGTTTTGTTTTTCCAAGTCCCTTCATGACTCAGAGAATAATCAGTGTATTTTTAAATCCCACGGTGCAAGGCAGGATCCTCTTGCTGAATTGCCTCTCCAGCTGGCTTTCTACCAAAGGAAAACCTGGTTTAAAAGCAGGTTTGTTCAACCGAAACAGGATATTTAAGTAGCAAAGCTTGGACTGGTTTAACTTCTGCCTGTCAGGGATGTCCTTTTAACCAGTGAGGCTTCCTAGAGTTCTTGACCTTCATCTTCTCTGGCCAGACAATGTGCTTGTATTAGACCTGTGGTCTGTAGGTAGGTGAGGGTGAAGAAGGAGACTCTAATGTTGGGGTCGTGCCTATCTCAATCTCTGAAATCCATCCTGTTTGAGTAGCAGATGTAGCAGTAGCTGCTTTGGCTTCCTATTTTGAGAGGATTTGCTCCTCCGGGCTGGAGATGATTGTGTAGCCTGAACTAAGGAATCCTCGTAGTCCTTATTTCCTGACTATTTTGCTATCCGCTGACAGGGAAAATAGCACATCGGGGACAAAAAAACCCCGAGCCTTTGTGAGCGGTGTGGGTAAGTTCAACTTCAGCGCCATGCTGAGGTTGGGTGTGGGGCAGGGTTTGAGGTTTCTCGCTGCCGAGGTCATCGCCGCGTGCCTCGTGCTGCGGGTCGCCCTTGCTTCCTCGTGGCAGAGCTGCCAGGCGTGCTTCCAGCCACCTTCGACTGCAGTCAATCTTTGAGGTCGCTGCGTTTCAGCCCCGAGGAAAACTGACCCCAAAACCCTTGGCGTGCTTGTGCAGACAGCTGTTGCCTTTCGCCAACAGACATCGTCTTGCAGGCGCTGCTCGACCGAGCTGGCTTGCAGCTGAGAGCATTGCTTCTAATGGCTGGGTCGCAACCAAGTATTCAGCGTTATTTCATCTTCAGCAGTTATCGGTTTATCCGCTTCCCCTTCTTCTTCCTTGTGCACTTCTTAAATGTCCCTTCTTAAAGCCCAGTCCTTCTGGCAGGGGCAGATGGGCTCTCCGTCCTGCCTGGGATCTTGTCCCAGGACAGCAGTCGAGAAGGGAAGGCGTGTTTCCGAACGGATCCGGCAGAAGGAAGTGAGTTTGTTTGACGAGAAGCCGTGCAGGATGGAGGAGCAGTGGGGTCTGATCCGAGTCACTCATCACGCGAACCTCAGGCAGAGCCGCTTGACCTCTGTTCCTCAGCCAGCCCAACTGTAAAATTGGGTAAAGGACTCCAGCTGAGCTCTGCTGAGTAAATTAAATTACAAAGAGACGCAAGCTATGATCTGTGCCAAGGTGCGTGCGTGTGTGCCTGCAGTCTGGCGGAGAAGGCCCAAAATGGCCCATATAAAGTGGGCGTTGGCTCTGCAGGAGCTGGGCGTGTTGCCGGTGTGTTCAGGGAGGAGGCGCTGGGGTAAGGTGTAGCACAACCGAGTTCTGCAGCACGAGAGCCGCAAGGCTGTTCCTGCACTTGAATTAATCATTAAGGCCGCATTCACACCCGTATCTC